GGTTGGTTGGTTGGAGGCGTGATGGTTGTTTTACTGATGAGCGGGCTGGTTTGAGGCATGATGGTTGTTTTACAGGCGAACGGGTTGGTTTGGAGGCGTGGTTGTTGTTTTATGGGTGAGCGGGTTTGTTGGAGGCACGGTGGGTGTTTTATGGGTGAGTGGGTTGGTTGGAGGCGTGGTGGTTGTTTTATGGGTGAGTGGGTTGGTTGGAGGCGTGGTGGTTGTTTTATGGGTAAGCGGGTTGGTTGGAGGCATGGTGGATGTGTTTATGGGTGAGTGGGTTGGTTGGAGGCATGGTGGGTGTTTTATGGGTGAGTTGGTTGGTTGGAGGCGTGGTGGTTGTTTTATGGGTGAACGGGTTAGTTGGTGGCGTGGTGGTTGTTTCATGGTTGAGTAGGTTGGTTGGAGGCGTGGTGGTTGTTTCATGGTTGAGTAGGTTGGTTGGAGGCGTGGTGGTTGTTTTATGGGTGAGCGGGTTGGTTGGAGGCGTGGTGGTTGTTTCATGGTTGAGTAGGTTGGTTGGGGGCATAGTGGATAAATCGAGCTTTGGGTCATTAAATGTTGCGAACGGAATGTCCCGAGGGCAAAGGTGATGTAATAATTACTGCTCGACAGCGCCTATTAAAACCTATTAATAGTGGTCTTAGATTCATGTACGACAAGTGGTCACGGGTGAAGCAAGATGTGACCACGGTCTAGTACAAAATAAAAACTGCATTCCAATGTCAACGTTACTGCAATATGCAAATGGTGGAGTGTGTGGTCATTATGTATTCACACGCATGCTTTGACAAAAGTATTCCCCTCGCGATAACCCCTCCCAAACTCTGGGAAGTATAATTAATATTCTCAAATTTGAGAAACATCTGAGTGAAAGTCGAAGTACATGAGACTATATCAATAAAGCTAAGTTCCTCTGTTCATGTTTTAAAACTTTACGCCAAACTTAGTGCAGCATGTTTACAATAAAATAAAAATACAATGTAGGGCGATGTGGAGCATAATTACGCTTGTTTATTCCGTCAATCTATATACCCAATCAATACTGTTTTGATGTGTGAGGGCGTGACATCCTCAACAACATTGAATTTGTATAATTAACGTTTTGTTATGCATTTTAGCAAGATACCATTTCACATAGAAAAGATGACGGAGATTCCCCGTAGCAAACGAGATATTACGAAAACTCGCGAGATATATCTTTAGCACTGGTTAGTGGTCGGTAGACTTGCATCAAATTA